TTGAAGATTTTTGAAATTTAGTCTAAAATTTCAGCGTGAAACAATTTTATAGCGTGATGAGACTCAAATTTCAAAAAATAGAAAACCCTTTAATACGATGTCGGATGAAGATAATTTTTATATGTAAATTGTAGATCTCGATGAGATCTACAACTTTGTAGTTTTGAGTTTTTTCATTTGAGGACGTTAAGATACTCGAAAAAATAATATAAAATTTTAGAGCTTCTGAAAATATCAAAAGTTACTGTTCATCCGCGACCCACCCAAATGTTGAAAGTTGAACTTTTTCGAGAGTTGGAGGGCAAAGTTGTATCCAGTTTTAAAGTTTGAGGTTGAAATTCATACTATGATGAAAGTTAGAAGATGTAAATTATACTTTACCTGCAAGGATATTCATATTCATCACCAAAGAAAGGAAACACATAGGATAGAATCCTGAAAGATACAGGCCAGAAACACCTTTCTAAGTCTCCCCTCGCTGGATCTGGAACCGAACACAGCATCGCCGCTCCAACGCCACAGCAGTTCGCCATGGCCGTCAGCTTGGCCTCACCGTCGTTCTTCAGGGTGCCGCGGGGGATGCAGTTAAACGTCTTCCTGGGCGGGCCGGCGTCGCGGGGCTTCGCCGCCCTGGCGCATCGGCGCGTTGCCTATTCCGGCCGGCCGACGGTGCGACACGTCACGGCGGATCTGGGGTTGCCGGTCGGCGGCGCTGGGAGTTGCGCAGCCGCTTCGGAACCCCGACGCGACCTCGCCTAGCCCACTGTGGCCTCGCCCAGCTCGTTGTGTGCGTTGACGAAGCACCGGTGCGATCGCGGCAGGGGGCGACGGGGCCTGGCGAGCGCGAGCGGTACCGGCGATCGGGCGCGCGAGTCTCGAGCGTGAATAGCGGCGTCGCGCGGCAGGCTCCTCAAATTGCATGAGTGATCAGAGGGGACAGATCAGTCGAGTTCCAAATAGACAGATCCATTTATTTTGGTGAGAAAGCTGAGGTTACGCGTCTGCAGCATTAGTCTGCGCTTGGGCCGTAATTAACGAGTTACATTAAGACCCAAATGCGCCTAGAGTGGGCCTGTCGGCCGGAATTCGCGCGGGCTCAATTGGAAGTGGACCAGGAAGATTCCGTGATTACTTGTTGCTACCATAAGAAGATAAGCTGGGGTGAAAGATGGGCCGAGCTGGTCTCAGAAGGAAATATAAGCCCGGGAAATCAGGGGCAGCGAGCAACTCGAATGCACAGGCCGACAAGGTGATAAAAATGCGCACTTCACATTTCGACCCTGCACCACATTTCGACCCTTTGCACCATGGCAGAAGAAGTGCACAGACGATCATTTCTTCCGGATTTTCATGGTGCTTGTGATTTCAAGCTTCCTCTGCTGGACGACTAGTGTAAGAATTAACCCCGGTGCTTCCCAGCGTTGTTTGGCATCGGGTCGATCAGTGAGCTGAACTAGTGCGATTTTGTTGTGTAGCAGCTAAGGAAGTCTGTTAGATGAAAAGGCAGAAAGAACAGTGTGACGGGCTGCCTTTTCTATCTCGTGGTGAGCACTCTTCTGCAAGAATTATACGGGGGGAACCAGCATTTGCCATTTCTCCTCTCTGACTTAGTTTTACCATTTTGCTGTAGGTTCTGCATCTAGAGCATTCGCTTGATACCGGTGACACGCGAATTTCCCGATGGAACACCACGGATTTCTGCATGGAACGAGCAAGAAGCTTGTCGACAAAGTCCTTGAGATGGACACGAAGAAAAATGGCTCGTTTGGAAAATGCTTGGTGAGTTTTTCTGTATCACGACTCCTCAGAAAGGGGTGTGATTTTTTATTGGAATGGCTGTGACTTTTCTATCTGTTATGAATTCATGACCCTCCTCTCTGTTTGCTTCAAATATTACAACCAGTTGAAAAAAAAAAGAGCAGCTGATAACATAAACTACAGGGGTGCATCAAACGCATCCGCCATTCCGCAATCCTCGGAGGTGCCCCCAAAATAGCAAGTTTTGTGTCAGCAAATGTTTCTGCTAATAATGTGGAGAAGAATGAGAACCGAGGGATGCAAGGCTTGCTCCCAGAAGATAGTTCTGAGCTGCCAACCGAGGACAAGAAGACACATCTGCTGACGACTACAACAGAGTTGAAAGTTCTGTATCACGATCTCTGAGGATGATCCTGACTACTGGGAACAAGACGAGTTCAGTAGCAGACAGCAGAAACGTAGCAAGACAATGTATGGGAAGTTGGAGACGGAGTGACCAAATCTGGACAGGGAGCAGGCTAAGGTTCAGGCCATGACTTGTTAGATTTTCCGAAGGAGACTCAAGAAACACGGAATGGGCGTAATGAAGAGCATTCAAATCTTTCAAAACGAGCATCGACCGGTGTTGATGGGGATGCACCGAATGCAAGGAGCACACGCCAGAAAACTGGTGAAAACAGTGGTGCCATTTTGGAGAAGACGGCGATAAGGCGATTCAGCCTACCAGCATCCCGCTTCATAGCGAAGGAAGACCGTCTAGTTCAGGCCTGAAAACAGATTTTCAGAGCTCTGGAAGATGTCCTGGATACATACAGATACAGCACTCTCAGTCTAGAATTTTGACCATGTCCGTTCAGGCAGCAATCTGGACCCTAGGTGAGCAGAATCGGACGCCTGGAGTGGAGATGCACGGCGCACCAGGCAAGTTTGTCTGAAGTTGAACCAAACAGCCCCCAAAATTTCCTGGAATCAAAATAGCATGGAGGAGAAGAAACGGTGGTTTGTGGTCAAGCGTGCGTCGTGACCAACCACCGAAGAACCCTGACGAGAAACTGGAACCACACGCAATTTACAAGCAAGAAACCCTGCAGCCTGCCAGCTTCCTCTACAATTTTGGATTGTGCTGACTTCTGAACAACTGCAGCAACAGCAGAGTGGCATCACACACCCAGTTTGGTGTCTCTCTGCAGTGTCTGCGTGCAGATTTGTCTCTTCTTCTAGAAGAAGTCTGAGAAATACAAGGGGGGAAACGAATAGCAGATAAAAAATGCCGAGCTTGTCCTAGAACGTAGCAGTAGCGCGATGATTAGGCATTTAGCCGTAAGCACCACTCTTCCCGCTTTTCAGTCAGAGACTTTGTGCAGCAAGCAACCCACAATGACCACAAAAGACTTGCACAGTAGTACGCACAGCTGAATCAGTAAGGTATCATGATTGCATGTACGTACGTACAGCTTAGAGATGTTCAGCTTGGAAAAAGTCTCAGCAAAGTGAGCGCAAAAGCAGGGAAGGGGGCAAGCCAGGAGCAAGGTGTCCCAGGGCTAAGCATTTTCTAATCCAAAATCAGAGGCTATCAGGTTAGGCCACCCGGCCGTCAGCTTTGCATGCAGCTTTTTCGCTCCCGGAGTTAAGCTGAGGCCGTCCGCGTGGGCTCCCCGCCGGGTCAACAACGATCTTCTCCCCCCATTAGATTAACGATGCATTGCCAAATGATTAGATTAGGGCACGGCAGCAGGACATGGTGGGGGCGGGTGACTGGAGACGCGTGTGCAGGGGGCGTTTAGTTTAGTGTCCCCCCGCACATGGGGTGTTGGGGTGGAAATGGTGGTTAGCGAGTAGCGGCTAGATTAGTGTCGGATTAGGCCACCAGGGGCCACAATTGTGAGAAGTCACGCACGCACGCCCGGATCTAACCAAGATTGCGCTGCGCCCCCTCAGACCTCACTGACGATCGGAACCAAATCATGCAAGCACACCTGCACCAACTGCTGCTAAGCTATAGTTTAAGGCATAGTTTAATGGCAGTGCTTGTGCTAATGCTGGAACTAGTGGTACTCGTGGGTATGCTAATCATCAAATCTTTGTTTGCTGCATAATACATCATGTGGAATTAATCATGACTTGTCTTGGCGCGTAGGAATTCCACGTGAATCCTATAGCTTTCGGCTCGCTCTTGCTCCGTTTCTCCGAAATCATGCAAAATCTGGCGGAGTTCATCATGAATTCCTACGAAAACGTTTTGTCAGCAGGCAGTACTAGCAGATGGTTCAGGTTGACTCGAAGTAAGCAGGGATATCCATGGATCTCTTTTTTTCCCCCTGTTGAAATTTAGAATTCAATTCAGTGACCTCATTATACGTTGTTTTCAGTGAGATTCGTTCGACAGGATATTTCGCCGCAGTATACTCGGCTCGCTGGAATTTGACCGGAAGTTGCAGAAAAGCTTGGGCTGCCTGGTGCCCGCCCATTTCAGACGGCGCAACTCCCTTGGCTGCCGGTTTATTCAGCGGCACATGTGAATCCTGCCGTGCTGCGTGCGTGGTGACCAGCAGAGACAGCCAAGGAATGCGAGAGGCACCCTCGATCACGTTCTTCGGTTCTTGTGGTCTGGTCTGGAGGATGACATGACGCCAACCTTTCTTTCACCTCCGTTCTTGTTGGGTTCCTCTATTTTTTTTTCCACAGAGCTGCTACTAGTACACTACTTCGGGAAGAATGCTTCAACGATAGGAACACGGGGAGGAAAAGCAGGGCGGTTTCGTCTTCGGACTCGAATATCAACGTCAGAAACTTCAGACTTTGGTACAGCGAGAGGGAAAAAGATCTGCTGACTTAGAATCCCTCTGAAAAAAGCTTACAACATAACAATTGCACAAATCCAATGATTAAGCACATGTTGTAATTATTCAGAGTGGTTGCAGGACTGGAAAGTCATGTTTAGGCAATGTGGTTGCACTCTGAACAAGCATCACAAACAAGCAACACATGCCAACAACCACATCGTATCGTATATATGCAAAGTAGAAGACCATTGCATCACTTATGAGTTATGACTTATGAATACAAGACACAAGACATCGTTATCTATTTTCAGCAAAGAAAACAAAGATTAATAAAAACTAATACTAAGCTGCAGGTATAATAAAGTGCAAAAAGAGAGATCCAACCCTAATTAGCACTAGCTACTTAGCTAGCAGTAGCAATTAGCAAGCGCATCCATCTCATGCCATATTGTCTGTCGATCATGACCTCCGGGCCGGGCCGTCGGCGACGAACACGGGCCGCACGGGGAGCGGGCCCCAGGGCCCTGTGGGGGCGGTGGTACGGCCCGCCGCCTCGTCGGCGGACGCGGCGGAGGCGAGGCGCTCGCAGGAGGGGCACATGGTGAGCGTGGTGGGCGGCGGCATGCGCGCGTAGTGGTGCGGCGCGACGAGCTTGAGCGCGCGCAGCTCCGCCACCTCCCGCTGCAGCCGCCGGTTCTCCTCCGTCAGCGTCTCGCAGCAGCGCTTCAGGAACTCGCAGTCCACCTCCGTCTGCTTCAGCTTCGTCCTGAATGAGCAATAATTTTATTATTATCATTAGCCATTATTAATGAATGGGATGACGATTAAATTAAAGAGATGAAATTACCAGGTTAATTATTATAAATTATCAAGGGGTTGTTTTGTTTAATTACCTGGCTCTGCGGTTCTGGAACCAGACCTCGACCTGACGTGGCTTCAGGTTCAGCTGCTTCGCCAGCGCCGCCTTCTGCTTCTGATCAAAGTCAGAAAAAGAAACGATTATTAGATTTCCTCGAGTTTGAAGGTGATCGATGTTTTTTTTGGATATATATACTCCTCGAGTGATTGATTATGAACGTACGGGGTTGAGGGTGTTGTGCTCCTTGAAGTTGTCCTCGAGGACGGCGGCCTGGTCCTTGGAGAGGCGGAGCTTCTTGCGCGACCCACTGCCGGCGCCGCCGGAGTCCTCGTCGTCGCTGCCGCCGCCTCCGGCTCTCGGGGTGTGGCCGTCGGCCTCTCGGTCCACTTCTCCGCTACTCCTCGCCGGCGCGGCGCGCTTCCCGCTGAGGCTGGAGAGCGTGCTGTTTGGCGACGACGCGCCGGGCTCCTCGTCCTCGCTGCAGCTGCCCCTCCGGGTCCGGGTCTCCCCGGCCGGGGCCCGGTTCACGTCGATCCCCCGCAGCCGCAGGAACGGCATCTCATGGCTGTGGCACGTGGTCGCCTGCGGCTGCGGCTGCTGATGCTTCCTCTCCAGAGATGGATCCATCATCATCCCTGCATGCATGTGCGCAGTATCTCTGTCAGGACCAGAACCGGCGGGGCCGTTCCACCACTGCGACCCGGGGAGGAGGGAGGAGATGGGCGCGACGCTGATAGCTCGCTGCTGCTGCTGCTGCTGCCGCGGTGGCGGCGGCTCGACCTCGGCCGGAGCCGCGGCGGCGATGCCGAGGCTGAGGCTTAGCCCAAGCCCGAGATGGTTGTCGTTCCCGTACTGCTCCTCGCCTCTCGCATTAACCGCCATCTCCATTGACGATGGTTGTCACTTTGAACTTGGTTCCCTTCTCGACGAAACCGCCTTTTTTCTAGTTGCAGTCTAGAGAGAGAGAGAGAGAGAGAGAGGTAAACGGTGGATCGATGAATATAATCGATGGAGCTCGGTGTGGTGTGGTGTGGTGTGGCAGTGAGGAGGAAGGGGAGGGTCTTGCTTTTAAAGAGGACGCACACCGGGGATACTTTGTGGGGGTGGTGGGGAGGAAGGAAAGGTCAAGATTGTGATGATGAGGTGTTGGCAGGCGCGTCACCCTCGCCGGCGCAGCCCAATCATCAGCTGAGCGTGGCCGTGCCCGTGGGGGTCGAGGCACGTAGCGGTGGCGCTCTGGCGCCTCTTTTGACTTGTCCGCCTGGCTCCGGCTCGGGGGAGGATGGATGGATCAGCGATGCCTTCGCGATGGCGATCCGTGTTCCTCCCGCAGTGCCGCATACCGGGTCATGGGTGCCGCCAGGATCCCGGCGCTGCTGGACGATATGCTGTGGCGGCTACTGTTGCTCCTCGTCCTTCCTCCACCACATGCATGAAAGAAACACACGGAGAAGAAACTCAGTCTTTGCTCCTGCATGCCAAATGTTCTACTATTATTAGATAATAATAAATCTTGTCAAAGATATTATCTACCGTACATTCCCTGGACCTTTTCTTTCTGAGAGCCCACCGTTGGAAAATGGAAACAAGTCAAATAATCAAATATGGCCTTAATCACATGAGAGTACACAGTACAGTAGCATGGCGCACTTGGAGGAAGATCAGGCCCCGAAAATCCACGGGGAAACAAACAAAGAGAGGCGGCGAATTTTGCTCAGCAGTGAATGGTGCTGTCATGCCACGCAAGTGAGTGAGGAGTGCTGCTGTGACATGAATGCGGATTGGGACGCACGGCACGGCAGACGTGATTGGGCCGTGAGTTTTTGGGGGCAATTATGAGGTGTGCCTAGGGACGAAAACGGCCGGAAACAGATGGGAAAACTCATTTTCCATTTTTGTTTCTATATTTTAGCGGAAACGGGATCGGGTTCGAGAAAAAAACGGAATTAAAAACGGATGAAGATATACGGAAATACGGAAACAGATAAATACGGACGGAGAGCCGAAAAAATAAGTTAGAATAACATGATCAAATATGCTTGAGTATACATGAACAAAGTCATAAAATAATATACACGTACGAAATTATCGGTCCAATATTCACTAGTATACCATGTGTTAACATGTTAACATGCATAATTTATAATTAGTAGATTTATAAACATATCAATTTCTAGACATATCTCAAATAGATTGAAAATGGGATGAAAAACGGAATAAATACAGGTTAATTCTGGATAAAAACGGGATCTCGCGAAAACAGACGGAAAACTCTTTTCCTTTTCCATACGGAAACGGAATCTCACAAATACGAAAACGGACAAAAGAAAGTAGAAAACGGAACGGGTCGTAACGGGATTTTTTCCCGTCCGTTCTCAACGTTAGGTGTGCCCGGAGCCCCGGACGCATGCCGACGCCGCGCGGCCTCGGAAGCGATCGCTCTGTCCCCTCGCGCGCAACCGGCAGTAGCACCCCTCCCTGATTGTCTGCGCCGCCCGGCGCTGCAGCTGCAGCTGCCCCTGCCCCACCCCCCACCCCCCAACCCCCACCCACGCTGCAGCTGTTGCTGTTTCGATGGCCGACGTCTATGTGCAGCGGTGAGCGGTGTGATGCGATGCCGGAGGGGGCTCGAGTACTCGACCGTGCCTGCTTTTCCTTTTTCTTTTTGCACTGTACTGTACTGGCCGTAGATGGTCTGTTACCCCTGTTTGCTGCCGTCGTCATCATCGACTCAATCATGAACCCGGAATGAGTTCATGATTGGGTCGAGGCACGGCCCACTTTCGATGATTGATTGCTCGCTCAGCTGGTAGCAGGACCGTAGGTGGAGTAGTATTTCACTTTTATCTTTTGACACAAATTAAGAGAGAGAGAGAGGAACAATCCCATGCGTGCAGCCTGCTGCGGTCCTGCCATGAGGTACTCATACCGTCGTAGGCCCCGTTGGCTTCGCTGAAAGTCCAAAAATACTGTTATGTTTTAACTGATTTGTTTGTGAAAAAAAAACACTATTTTAAGCTAAAAATATAAGCTGAAAAAAATAGATTATAGAAGAAACGAACCTGACCATACAGTACGTAGTACGAGCCACGCGTGAGAGGTGAGCCTGAGCCGGGCGTTACTGAGCTCGAGCCGCAAGCAGCAGTACGTAGTAGTACACCTACAAGGCTCGGGCAGACAGCGTCACGTGGAGCGGGACGGGAAAGCGGGAGGGACCAGGGCCGGGGTCACGTGCACGCGCCCGCCTCGTCGGCCCCGCCGCGCGCCAGGTCGGACCGCACCAAGGGAGCCCCCACGCGCGCCTGCCTGCCCCTCGCGGCCCCGACAGCGCCCACCTTCCCCAATCATTGACATTCTCACCTCATCCACTCCGACGTCCGACCCCACTCGCAAATCACTGGAGTAGTATTCCCTTTTTCCTTTGATTTTTTGAGATAAAATCACAGCTACTCCATCCGTCCGTTCTCGAACACTTCGAATATAATCTGGTTGATATTCTCCGAGGCAATAATATTCTGCACCGCAGCCTTTTTGCTCACGTACTCCCTCCAAATAGGAAAAAAATGACGTTTAGAATAGCATTTAGCTGATTAATTAGGGTAGATTTTTTTTTTCTGTTTGTCCTTATTAAATACTGCTTCGTGTGGGTTCCATACGAGAAAGTTTCCTAGATCAACCGGTTAGCGTATCGAGGTGTAAGGCTGGTGAGCCGAGTTCGATTCCTAGCGCCCACAGTTTTGCTTCATTTTGCATGGCAATGGATGATTTTTGCATGGCACTGTTTCTGCCGTGGAGATGCATGGCGCGCGTACTATTCGCTATTTTCGGCTGGGAGCGAGGAGGAGGTTGCATGGCGCCTTTGTGCACCCTCTCGTTTATAGAATGTTTGTAACACTATAAAGTGTTTATATTGAAGCTATGAAGGTGAAAGGATGCAACAATTTCAAGATTCCTCACATGAAAAAAGATACACTAGAACGTGAAGATCGGCTGCCAACTTCTATCCCTTGTGAACCATCTTTGCTACATGAAGCCGAGGCTACTCTTGCTGCATCAAACAGTTAGAACGATGCTAGTTAGATGGATCGATGCTAGTTTGCATGGAGTAGTGACATTCTTGTAACAAGTCCTTGTAATGTTAGTTGCTTTGGATCCTTTCTAGGCAAGAAATTGCAAGAAAAGTAGTCCAACATCCCTCAGCCAACAATGGCGTCGATTAAGTAGTCCGCGTGCACGAGACCACAGCGAGAGCATGGCCAGAACCGCGAGCACTACACCATGACACACAATTGCCTACAGTTATGTGTTGGCAAAGGGATGGTTTCAACTACACATTATCTGTTGGTAATTGTACAACCTTTTAATGTCATATAATCTGTCGGCAATAATGTTGTATGACTACAAATCAACTGTCGGCATTGCTTTGGGACACTAAAACTGCCGGCAAACATTTATAGACACAATAAGTGTCGTAGATTAAGAAAGCCAACTACTCAAGTGTCGTGCGAAATGCAGTGAGTGGCGGTGAAGCGAAAAAACCTTGAGAATATACTCCCCCTCTCCCCACTCGTCTCCTCCGTTCCTCCGCCGCTCTCTCGCGTCGCTCCAACTCGCGCGCCCCCTTCCCTTCTGCGTCGGCGATGTGCCCTCTCCAGTGGCTCCGCCGCTGCTGTGCCTCCGGACGACCCCCGGCGTGCCGCAAAACCTAAAGAGCCCCCGCGCGCACCAACTGCAGCACGCAACACGCGGGAGCGTTCGCCGGCCATGCGGCTTGGCAACAAGCGTCGTGCCCCCCCGTGGCCGGCTTCCGCCATGCAGCACCATCGCCACGAGCCGCCCGTACAGTGGCTCCTCGTCGTCGTTGCGATTGGCGCTAGTGAACCCCGCCGCCGTCGTCACGCCAGATCCATGTTTTCGCCGTCGAGTTTGCGGCGCTTCGCTGGTCGGCGTGGCGGCGCGAGGCTACGCCGCAGCCCGCCCGGACGGCGCGGAGCGCGCAGCACGCAGGCGTTCGGCGTGCTGCTGTCGCCGACAGCGGAGGTCGGATTGGCACTGGGGTTTTCGGTTGCTTCGCTTTCTTGAATCTTTGATGTTATTTGAATGGGTCGTTCTCCATTTCCCCTTTACAGGCATAGTACTACCCACGTGTGCTCACATTTGCTGATTCCAATTGATGTTCGAAGCTTCAATATGCAGGTATGTGGTCTTCGATCGACTCGTCAGATCTCTGCTATGTGATTTGATTTTTTTGTGTGAGCTACATGCTTAGATGCAGGTTGTTTTGTACTAAAATTAGTGTTAGGGTTTGACGTGTTCATGTAGATGCAATGGTATTCTAATGTTTTTTCTCCTATTTTGTTGTGCTCACGATTGTAAAAAAAGGGAGTGTGGAGTCGGATCTCTTTGGGTGCTTTGTGATATTCAAGTTCCTGTGATTTTTTATATTATATTAAATTGGGGGAGATGAAGAGGTTATCTATTTAGGTTGTTTGGTCAGTTATTCCCTGTTATTCTTGGTCTCTATAGGATGTGATTCTGCTTTGTGCCGCAACTTGTGAAACTGTGTGATCTAAAACTTTCATTTGCAGTCCTCCTTTTTATTGGAGTTAATTGTATTGTCATTTCTTAGTTGACGATGAATCGAGTCACTGTTACGAGATTAATTGGTTTCACTGCTTGAAATCATGATCGTTGTTCAGTCTTAAAATCAAAGAATGTTTTGCGTGATAAATTTTAACTGAACTGTCAGCTCCTTTTTATTTGTTCAATTATTTATAGCTGAAAGTAGCCCTTGATAGGAAATTTACATCAATGAGTAAACTTTTCCTGTCCCATTCATGTCTGCTAGGTTATTCAGAGATATATTGTTCTAAAGTATTTGC